ACAGACAACCTCTCGTCAATATGCGTTTTTCGCATTGCATTGCTGCAAAAAACGCATAAAAAATTTGTGCAAATCGCTTCTTTATTCCATTTAGTTAGAGGAAATTTTTTTTAAGTTTTCATTCCCATAAAACACGAAAATTTTGCTCTTTCAAAGCAAAAGCTCAGCACCTCCTAACTAATCTGCAAAATTGAAAAAAGATAAAATTTCGCTTGAAATTTCCAAAATATGATGCAAAAAATACGAAATTCAGCTAACCGGTAACATCAAGAATCGCACTGCTTGTTGCTTGTCCATGTGAGTTTCTCGCAACTGCAACATATTCGCCGATATCCTCCGGAAGAGCGTCCATAATGATGATGGCATGCGAACCACCACCACAGGACTGAACACGTATTCGTCCACCGGGAGTTATCTTCTTGCCATTGTGATACCAATCAACCTGTGTTAAAAGCAAAAAATAAGCCTTCAATTCTTCAGCGCTATTTTCCACCCTCCCGAAATCAGTACTTTTAATCCAAACGGGATAAACTGGAAAAAATGGGGCTAACCGAAAAACTGTTAGATCAACTAAATTAAAAATTCCCAAATATTTCTTAAGAGAGACGAAGGTTTTCGAAACAGGCTCAAGTGGTTGCAGTAAGCCAGCGGCAAAAAGTCCAGGGAAGTCTGCTGAGTCTTCTTTTCTAAGAGTTGCGCTGCTCCCAAGAGATTGAGGTATTCGAGAAGCAACCCAACCGGTAGCAAATGTCAACAACAAATATTCATTGATAAGACTGTTGAGGCTCTCGAGGGCTTGTTACAAGGAAACTAATGGTACGTTTAACCCGTCGCATCAAATGATCCGTAGAAAGAAATAACAGCTAATAAGTGCACAGTTTAGAAGAAAAAACTTAAATGCTCAAAGGAATGCATACTGTTGGTGGTGGATGTCCAACAACAAGGCAATCGAATATCGCTGGCATATGTGAGAATACATGCTTATTTTTCAGCTGACGAATAAATCCTGGCGGATATGGCATGCCACCTCTGAAATTAGAGATTCCATGACACCTCTTGATAGCAAATTTGATAACTCCACAGACAGATACTAAGCGGAGCTACATTTATTTGTGGAACTGATGGGATAACTGCGAAAACTAGGAATGCCAGGAAGTTAAGTTACTTTCTTTTCATGAGATCATGGAAGATATTTCGCTTGAAAAAAATGTTAGCATTTCAGCGGTTTTTTATTTCTTCATGAACAGAAACTAGACTGCCGTCATTCTGGCTTGACTCCGAGTACCACTGTGACGGGAATCCAGTATCTACAGGAGCCGCTGCGTGAATTATTTTTAAAAACAGCTCTTCTCGTGAATCTTAAAACTTAGAAAACAAATTAACATTTAGTTGAAATTTTAGCATGAAACCTAGACTGGAAATTTCCAAAAATACAATTTTCCAAAAATACCTGGATGGTCGGCGTAGGGATCCTATACCGGTTGTGAGATTTAAAAGGAATGCTTGAAATTTTACTGACAGAACAGTTCTTTTTAAAAACTGCTCTTCTACCTGCCCTGTGCATTCCGACTTACTCCCTCGTTTCAGTCGCCAATTAACTTAAAATTTGCAAATTGTGCACTAATACCGCAGCGCTTCAGCACCAGCCCAATCGCTGTAATGCCCCCACACGTCGGGCGCTGCTGTGCCAGACCCTTCCACTATGGGATGCATGCCTCTGGTTGGTACCCATTACTCTTCTGGTATATGTGGGCCACTTCTTTAATAGCTGACCAAATGAGCGCTTTCTTTGTGAGGAATATTTGAGAGAGTTAAAAAAAAAGTAAAAACTATGAGAAAACAAAATCAGAGTTTTAAAATAGTTAAAACGTACTTGTCCAATTGGTCTTCATAGCCCGGTACTTCTCTTGGCCTAATGACTGTAACAGCTCCTTCGGTTCGTGCTGTGCCAAGTTTGTTGGTTGCTTCCAAAGCATACTCCCCTTCATCATCCGGCTTTGCATCAAGGATGACGCAATGATGGATGCCACGATCATCGGTCCAAATAACACATGGTCCATCTGGCCCGCTGGACTTTAGCTCTTGACCATTTTTGAACCATTTTACGGTTGGTGTTGGCCAGCCCGATGTGCATACTTGCATTTCGATTATATTGCCCTAGAATTTGTTTTGCAAAAATCGTCAGTTGCAGATGATTTCTTTAGCGACTTCCCGCCCCTTCTCCTCTCCAATTTTTCATCCTTGTAATATCCTATTTCCTCCACTCCTCCTTCCTTCTTAAGCTCTTCTCCTGTTATCAACTCTTCCAAGTGGTTGATTTGGGGGCTGCACTGACGATTCCCACTCCAATCCAAATCGAATACTGTCTGTGTTTACAGCTTAGTGATGAAACACAGACAGTCAAGTTTACATTCAGCTTTCCCACAGGTCCTCATTACATCTCCTGAACATTTTTTCACAACATATGCTTTTCGCTATCTCTTTTCACTTCTTGTTTTCGTGGTCTTTCCTCTCATTCCGAGAGCAGGCGAGTGGCCGTTGGATAAATGCTCGGAGAGTACAAAACTGAAAGAATCCCAACATAATTTGAGGTAAATGAATCCCCGCATTTCCTCAATTTCGGAAAATTCCTACTGCTGTGGCTAAAGAGTTACTAGCTGCTTCGATACTAGCTAAAATTTCAATCTCATCTTCTTTTCAAACCGGACAGCAGCAAAAAATTGAAACAGTTCACGAATTTCATCTTTCATCCTAAGTGTTAAAATTTCAAAAATTAAACCCACCTGGTGTACGCTCATGTTATGGAGCCCTCGGCGAATACGCGGTTTGCTTTCTTCTGGCTCAGCGCCTTTGAGTTCCTCAATCTTTTTTGTTGGTACTGTTCGATCGCCTAGAAAGAAAAAAAATTTTCTCAAAGGATTTTAAAATGGATGGATAATTAAGCTTTTTCACATTACGATTTTCCAGAATAATTCAAGAAGGGCGCCCAACCTTCCACCAAAAGTTCAGCTTTTGTTGATGCGGTACCATACTCGTTTGTTGCTACACACCGATAGAAACCTTCGGAGAAGAAATCGACATTGTTCAACGTTATCCTCTGTGTCTGATCATCCAGCCTTTCGATCTGAAAATAATCCGCTACAATTGGAAGAAAGTTGCCCCTTTCAGCTTCTCTTGAAGACATCATTCAGTTATTTGGAAAAAAAAGGCACAATCTGGCAAACGGTTATGGCAAAAGAGCGAGTGCATTTCAGCAGCATCATTCGACTTCACAGCGAAATGAAGGCAGACCGTGCGAAGATGCGTTTTTTGCACAGCTCCCCGCAGATTTTTGCCGCCAATGGCACAGGTTTTTCCGGCAAATATTTCTAGCAAAAAGAATTTCAGACTGGCCGCCAAAACTGTCAGGGAACATCCCTTCAAAATTCCAGTCTTCCAGCTTCTCACGTTCTCGAGTTACCCGGAAGAAACTTTCACGGGCCTTTATGTAGGCACCGCGCTTACCCACGGGCAGGGTTTAAATTCGTTAATACCCACTTGGACAAGAAACATCCCCCTAAGATTTCAGTGTTCTGACTTCTCAGGTCCTCGAGTTATGAACTTACCCGAAAAAAATTTTGGCGGGCCCGTACGCGGGTACCACGCGGTGATGGCG